CAAGGAGGATTTGGTCCTGTTTATAAGGTAATGTGGTGATCCTTTTTGTAATATTTACAATGCATCTTTTTTAAGCAGGTTTCAGATTAGTAGAAGTGATGTTCTTTATGGAAATTTTCTTTAAGGGTAAATTTCCTGGAGGACAAGAAATTGCTATTAAGAGGCTCTTGAGTGGTTCAGGACAAGGCTTACAAGAATTTAAGAATGAGGTTTTGTTGATTGCCAAACTTCAGCATCGGAATCTTGTCAGACTTCTGGGCTACTGTGTTGAAGGAGATGAGAAAATGTTGCTCTATGAATATATGCCCAATAAAAGCTTAGACACGTTCATCTTTGGTGAGTTTCCGAATCTGAAGTTTAGCACAAAGAAGTAATAAACATCTTGATATTATTTCTTAGTTTTGTTTTTATATTGTTGTAGATGTAGCAGAGGATTGTCCGTTTTAGCAGTATAAACGATCTATAATTAGATTTAGTGTTGTTTAATTTTATAATCTCAAGTGCTATATCAGGTTTGCAAAAGGTTGTAGGGAATGTGTTCTGTTTTTAACGATTATCTTACAAAAATGTTGATACGTGTAGTGTGCTATAATTTGAAAAGCTGACTAAGATCATTATTACTTATTAAGCTAAATGCTTTTGTGTTTGATATCGAAATTTATGGAGATCAAAATCAATGTGTGTTGCTGAACTGGGAGATTCGCTTTAATATCATATTGGGAATTGCTAGAGGGCTTCACTATCTTCACCATGATTCAAGGTTAAGAGTTATCCACAGAGATTTGAAAACCAGCAATGTTCTACTTGATGAAGAGATGAACCCGAAAATTTCTGACTTTGGGTTGGCGAAGATTTTTGGAGGCAAGCAAACTGAGGCAAACACAAACAGAGTAGTTGGGACATAGTAAGTTTTGAATGGCACTATATATAACATTTGTTTGTTTGGATTTTAGCTTGGAGGTCCAAATCACCTAATCATATACTTCAATCCAACTTATCAGCTAACTAATTGTTGTCACGCAGTGGTTACATGTCCCCAGAGTATGCATTACATGGGTTATTCTCAATCAAATCGGACGTTTTCAGTTTTGGTGTTGCTGTACTTGAGATTATCAGTGGAAAAAGAAACACTGGATTTTACCAGTCAGAAGACGTTTTCAGTTTTGGTGTCGCCGTACTTGAGATTATCAGTGGAAAAAGAAACACTGGATTTTACCAGTCAGAACAAGCTTCAAGTCTTCTAGACTACGTGAGTGTTACTATTGCATGTTTCTATTCTTAAAACCTACTGTTTCTCTCCGGTTGTAATTTTGGTAAGACTTTCCTAATGTATTGCAGGCATGGAAGCTATGGAAAGAAAACAAGGCACTGGATTTAATGGATCCACCATTGAGGGAGACTTGCAATGAAAATGAATTCTTGAGGTGTTTCAACGTAGGACTATTGTGCGTACAAGATGATCCAAATGATCGACCGACTATGTCAAATGTGGTAGTCATGCTTGGAAGTGAAAATGGAAATCTTCCAAGTCCTAAGCAACCGGCCTTTGTTGTGAAAAGACCACTTTCTAGCAGAGCTTCTTCTGAACCATTATCAAATAATGAGTTAACAGATACCTTGAATGAAGGCCGGTGACAATCTTTATCTGCGAGTCTTGCAGGTCATTGCCTTGAACAAGGTGGTGTCTGTTTTGTTGAGCATTGCCATGTACTTCTTTTTTGGTGTGAACTTAGTGTGTGTGTGAGCATAGAGGAAGATATGCTGTACGCGGTCATATAAACCTAAAGAGTTGACTAAAAGCCTGATTTTTAGTGTGTATAACTTTACAATAATCTAGTCAAGATCAAACTCTAGAACCAGAACAGGAGAATCTCATTATTGCCACAAGCAATGACGCTGAAAGTTCGATTGTCAAAAGCTCAAACATAATGTTGGGATTTTTGGATCGGCATTATTTTGCAAATTGAAAGATTTGATTTTGGGTTTAATATGGAGATTGATTTGCTGCATTGAATTGATTTAGAGATTGAATGGAAAGTACTTTAGCTTGCTCCCTGAGATGGGGCTCCATTACATCTTTAATTACAGCTTTGTGTCAAACCAAGACGAGAAATATTTCGTCTATTCTCCTGAAAAAAACAATTCTAGTACTAGGTCGAGATTCGTGCTGAATGTTTTGGGGCAAGTTAAGCAACTAAATTGGGTTCCTAATAGCGGATGGAATTCCTTCTGGGTTCAACCGACGCAACAATGCAAAGTTTACTCTCTTTGCGGGGCGTATGGTAGCTGCAACGACAAGTCCTTGCCCTCGTGTCGATGCTTGACAGGGTTTAAGCCGAAGTTGCAGAGTGATTGGGGTTTGAAGGACTATTCCAGTGGGTGCTTGAGAACAACCAAACTGCAATGTGGTAACTCCACTCTTGCTAATGGTGGTAGAGACAGATTTCTAAAGATGCTCAACATGTCAATGCCTGAAAATAACCGTTCTGTCCGATTAGGGAGTTCAGGAGAATGCGAATCGAGGTGTTTGAGTAACTGCTCTTGCACTGCTTATGCCTATAACAGAAGTGGATGTTCAATTTGGGTAGGAGATCTCATAAATCTTAAGCAGCAAGGTAACAGCAGTGGAAGTACTCTCTATATTCGACTAGCAGCTTCCGAGTTTCAGAGTCCTAAAACTCGTAAGGACACAAGGCCCATTATTATTTTATTCTTACTGAAATAAAGAAAAGAAACAGGACAGCTAATAAGCTATACTAATCCTTTTTGTATCATTGTATTTTTTCCACTCCAGAACTCGGACCTTCTGTAGAGTCTAAAGGATCTTCACGAAATCGAAAGCTTTATGGTATCTTGTTTGGGACCATGGCTGCTGTTGTGGTCACCTCTTGCACTGCTGGTTCTCTTTATTACATGAGAAGGAAAAGAATGTCCAATAGACAAGGTGATTACGTTGCCAATAGTCACGAACGCACTCACAGAGATCTTTGGTTTCTTTTCATATGGGAAAATAAGTTTCTAACTTAAAAGTTCTCTTTGAAATTAGGCGAGAGGCGAAGCAAAGACTTTGTACATTCAGGTGAATTCAAAGAAGACGAAAAGAAAGGCATAGAAGTACCGTTTGTTGTTTTGGAAAGCATATTAGCTGCAACAGATAACTTTTCAGCGGCAAATAAACTTGGTCAAGGAGGATTTGGTCCTGTTTATAAGGTAATGTGGTGATCCTTTTTGTAATATTTACAATGCATCTTTTTTAAGCAGGTTTCAGATTAGTAGAAGTGATGTTCTTTATGGAAATTTTCTTTAAGGGTAAATTTCCTGGAGGACAAGAAATTGCTATTAAGAGGCTCTTGAGTGGTTCAGGACAAGGCTTACAAGAATTTAAGAATGAGGTTTTGTTGATTGCCAAACTTCAGCATCGGAATCTTGTCAGACTTCTGGGCTACTGTGTTGAAGGAGATGAGAAAATGTTGCTCTATGAATATATGCCCAATAAAAGCTTAGACACGTTCATCTTTGGTGAGTTTCCGAATCTGAAGTTTAGCACAAAGAAGTAATAAACATCTTGATATTATTTCTTAGTTTTGTTTTTATATTGTTGTAGATGTAGCAGAGGATTGTCCGTTTTAGCAGTATAAACGATCTATAATTAGATTTAGTGTTGTTTAATTTTATAATCTCAAGTGCTATATCAGGTTTGCAAAAGGTTGTAGGGAATGTGTTCTGTTTTTAACGATTATCTTACAAAAATGTTGATACGTGTAGTGTGCTATAATTTGAAAAGCTGACTAAGATCATTATTACTTATTAAGCTAAATGCTTTTGTGTTTGATATCGAAATTTATGGAGATCAAAATCAATGTGTGTTGCTGAACTGGGAGATTCGCTTTAATATCATATTGGGAATTGCTAGAGGGCTTCACTATCTTCACCATGATTCAAGGTTAAGAGTTATCCACAGAGATTTGAAAACCAGCAATGTTCTACTTGATGAAGAGATGAACCCGAAAATTTCTGACTTTGGGTTGGCGAAGATTTTTGGAGGCAAGCAAACTGAGGCAAACACAAACAGAGTAGTTGGGACATAGTAAGTTTTGAATGGCACTATATATAACATTTGTTTGTTTGGATTTTAGCTTGGAGGTCCAAATCACCTAATCATATACTTCAATCCAACTTATCAGCTAACTAATTGTTGTCACGCAGTGGTTACATGTCCCCAGAGTATGCATTACATGGGTTATTCTCAATCAAATCGGACGTTTTCAGTTTTGGTGTTGCTGTACTTGAGATTATCAGTGGAAAAAGAAACACTGGATTTTACCAGTCAGAACAAGCTTCAAGTCTTCTAGACTACGTGAGTGTTACTATTGCATGTTTCTATTCTTAAAACCTACTGTTTCTCTCCGGTTGTAATTTTGGTAAGACTTTCCTAATGTATTGCAGGCATGGAAGCTATGGAAAGAAAACAAGGCACTGGATTTAATGGATCCACCATTGAGGGAGACTTGCAATGAAAATGAATTCTTGAGGTGTTTCAACGTAGGACTATTGTGCGTACAAGATGATCCAAATGATCGACCGACTATGTCAAATGTGGTAGTCATGCTTGGAAGTGAAAATGGAAATCTTCCAAGTCCTAAGCAACCGGCCTTTGTTGTGAAAAGACCACTTTCTAGCAGAGCTTCTTCTGAACCATTATCAAATAATGAGTTAACAGATACCTTGAATGAAGGCCGGTGACAATCTTTATCTGCGAGTCTTGCAGGTCATTGCCTTGAACAAGGTGGTGTCTGTTTTGTTGAGCATTGCCATGTACTTCTTTTTTGGTGTGAACTTAGTGTGTGTGTGAGCATAGAGGAAGATATGCTGTACGCGGTCATATAAACCTAAAGAGTTGACTAAAAGCCTGATTTTTAGTGTGTATAACTTTACAATAATCTAGTCAAGATCAAACTCTAGAACCAGAACAGGAGAATCTCATTATTGCCACAAGCAATGACGCTGAAAGTTCGATTGTCAAAAGCTCAAACATAATGTTGGGATTTTTGGATCGGCATTATTTTGCAAATTGAAAGATTTGATTTTGGGTTTAATATGGAGATTGATTTGCTGCATTGAATTGATTTAGAGATTGAATGGAAAGTACTTTAGCTTGCTCCCTGAGATGGGGCTCCATTACATCTTTAATTACAGCTTTGTGTCAAACCAAGACGAGAAATATTTCGTCTATTCTCCTGAAAAAAACAATTCTAGTACTAGGTCGAGATTCGTGCTGAATGTTTTGGGGCAAGTTAAGCAACTAAATTGGGTTCCTAATAGCGGATGGAATTCCTTCTGGGTTCAACCGACGCAACAATGCAAAGTTTACTCTCTTTGCGGGGCGTATGGTAGCTGCAACGACAAGTCCTTGCCCTCGTGTCGATGCTTGACAGGGTTTAAGCCGAAGTTGCAGAGTGATTGGGGTTTGAAGGACTATTCCAGTGGGTGCTTGAGAACAACCAAACTGCAATGTGGTAACTCCACTCTTGCTAATGGTGGTAGAGACAGATTTCTAAAGATGCTCAACATGTCAATGCCTGAAAATAACCGTTCTGTCCGATTAGGGAGTTCAGGAGAATGCGAATCGAGGTGTTTGAGTAACTGCTCTTGCACTGCTTATGCCTATAACAGAAGTGGATGTTCAATTTGGGTAGGAGATCTCATAAATCTTAAGCAGCAAGGTAACAGCAGTGGAAGTACTCTCTATATTCGACTAGCAGCTTCCGAGTTTCAGAGTCCTAAAACTCGTAAGGACACAAGGCCCATTATTATTTTATTCTTACTGAAATAAAGAAAAGAAACAGGACAGCTAATAAGCTATACTAATCCTTTTTGTATCATTGTATTTTTTCCACTCCAGAACTCGGACCTTCTGTAGAGTCTAAAGGATCTTCACGAAATCGAAAGCTTTATGGTATCTTGTTTGGGACCATGGCTGCTGTTGTGGTCACCTCTTGCACTGCTGGTTCTCTTTATTACATGAGAAGGAAAAGAATGTCCAATAGACAAGGTGATTACGTTGCCAATAGTCACGAACGCACTCACAGAGATCTTTGGTTTCTTTTCATATGGGAAAATAAGTTTCTAACTTAAAAGTTCTCTTTGAAATTAGGCGAGAGGCGAAGCAAAGACTTTGTACATTCAGGTGAATTCAAAGAAGACGAAAAGAAAGGCATAGAAGTACCGTTTGTTGTTTTGGAAAGCATATTAGCTGCAACAGATAACTTTTCAGCGGCAAATAAACTTGGTCAAGGAGGATTTGGTCCTGTTTATAAGGTAATGTGGTGATCCTTTTTGTAATATTTACAATGCATCTTTTTTAAGCAGGTTTCAGATTAGTAGAAGTGATGTTCTTTATGGAAATTTTCTTTAAGGGTAAATTTCCTGGAGGACAAGAAATTGCTATTAAGAGGCTCTTGAGTGGTTCAGGACAAGGCTTACAAGAATTTAAGAATGAGGTTTTGTTGATTGCCAAACTTCAGCATCGGAATCTTGTCAGACTTCTGGGCTACTGTGTTGAAGGAGATGAGAAAATGTTGCTCTATGAATATATGCCCAATAAAAGCTTAGACACGTTCATCTTTGGTGAGTTTCCGAATCTGAAGTTTAGCACAAAGAAGTAATAAACATCTTGATATTATTTCTTAGTTTTGTTTTTATATTGTTGTAGATGTAGCAGAGGATTGTCCGTTTTAGCAGTATAAACGATCTATAATTAGATTTAGTGTTGTTTAATTTTATAATCTCAAGTGCTATATCAGGTTTGCAAAAGGTTGTAGGGAATGTGTTCTGTTTTTAACGATTATCTTACAAAAATGTTGATACGTGTAGTGTGCTATAATTTGAAAAGCTGACTAAGATCATTATTACTTATTAAGCTAAATGCTTTTGTGTTTGATATCGAAATTTATGGAGATCAAAATCAATGTGTGTTGCTGAACTGGGAGATTCGCTTTAATATCATATTGGGAATTGCTAGAGGGCTTCACTATCTTCACCATGATTCAAGGTTAAGAGTTATCCACAGAGATTTGAAAACCAGCAATGTTCTACTTGATGAAG